CCGATTTCTTTGCTCTTTTTTTTGTTATGTCGGGGTAGCTGCACACAATTTGTTGTAATACAATATTTTCGCCATTAGGAGCCAGGCAAATGGCCAAGTGGCAGCCAGCGGCCACTGACTTTGTTTGCTGCGCAATGTTTGCGCTTCTCTGTTACTGCCCAGCTCCATCTCCTTTTCGTCCTTTGGCTCCTTCGTTTACACTTTGAACCCTCGCACATGCCGCAAGTGGTGGGTGCTGTGAGAATTGAGAAGGACGACTTTTGCAGGATATTGAGTTTACACAAAATACAAATTGCAAAACATTTCAATTCGACAGTTTGAGGATTTTGGAAATCCAGGGATATTATTTACATATCAGAGACTCTTTAATCTGCATTTTAAAAGTCTGTAAATTTATATCATCTAGGTTTTTGAGTTGTAAAGTAAATATTTAAATATTTAATATTGCAAACACAATCCAGGGTATCTCTTTGACCAAACTTTATTCTTTACTGATTTTTCCAGTTTATTTAGGCTTGAACCAAAACTTGACCCAATCCTAATCCCAGCAAGTTGAGGAATTATGTTTCGAATATTTTTCGGTTATATGTAGTCACACATCTTCTTTAGGCATTTCCCTGGCATTTTCTTCACCAGCCCCTTTTCCTCTCACTCGTTGACTGCCTAATGGAACGTAAAGTCTGCATGATTAATAGGCGTCAGTCGGTTGTTCCTTACGTCTGAGCCTCGTCAGACATTAATGCTACCAAGGCCCAAATATACGTTATTTTTTTGGCTTCTACTACGCTCTAATGATTTCAATAAAGCCATACGAAAAAAAGAAAGGAAAAGGCCAAAAGAAGTCAGCGGAGGGTGAGCGTTTTATTTTGTTTCAATTTGCTTAGGGGCGTTTTCTGACCGGATCGGACTGAATTGAACCCAAGTGATCCGAACAAAACAGGGTCCTGTTTGTCATGTCCTGCGATTGTATTTGTTAATTGCTAAACTTTGAAATACTTATGTACATATCTAATTAGAAGTTTAGATAGTGAAATTAATTTATTAACATTTATTTATTTAATTTTGCTTCAAGAATATGCTTTAAATAATTAAAATATAATGGAATTTATAATTTATTTACTATAATATTACTAATAAACAAGTAAAAATTTAATCGTTTAGATTACAAAATTACCGAAATTGTCAAAAATAAATGCATTTACCAGCATAAAACTTAACTTTATCCAAATAAAATCCGTATTTATATAATATATATTAATGTATTTACACACAACAATTCTGATGCCATCAAAATTGTTTATTTATATTTAATGCTTACGCAATTTGGACACCAAATACATTTTATACAATTTGTTACGTCAAACTGCTGTCACCGAAAAGTGCCATGAAATATGTACGAATGTTTTGGATTACAGTTCTGTGCTGATGAACATTCCGCTTTCCTCCCACCGATTTTCCTATGATTTATTTGTGTTTGAGCACCTTACTATTACCTGCTGCTGCTTATGTGTCAAGTGCAAAGTGAAACAAAAGTGAAATAAAAAGGAAAAATAGAAACAATCGAGGAGCTTCCATCAATTGGCCAAATGTGGGATAAACTTCAACAAAAGCTTAGTGGCTCAAAATGTTTTTGTCTGGCAAACAAACACACACAGGACATTGATACCACCTTGTGTGGTTGTATCTAATGTTGCAATCTCTGTGTGTGTGTGTGTGGTGGATAATCAAAACAAACACACACACAACAGGGAGGAGAGAAAAAAATAGAACAACAACAACACTCACCCACACACAGTTGCTCTTGGCCATTGTGGCGACACAGTTTTATTTAAACAAAGCCTACTTGAGCTTTTGCTCAGTTTGTCAGCAGCAACAATTTAATGACAATGTTTATATATCTGTGTGTGTGTGTGTGTGTGTGTGGTGTGGGAGGATAACTAAATACATATAGCATGGGTATTATGTGCATAATGTACATACATTGTATGCCATAAGGCTGCCATAATCTCTTGGGTTGTTTTTGTCCTGAATAAATGACAAAGCATGGATATTGGGTACTATATGTAAAAGTGTTGAAATGCTAGCAGATATATTGATTTAATATATATTTATTGGAATTCGTCTAATATTATCCTTTATTTTATAAAATAAATAATAATGCATAGGTTTTGAGATTTTTATGAATTTCGATTATGTTTCTAGTGGAATGATGGCATGTTGTGTATTAACTGTTGGAATAAGCTGGGATTTAGCCTAGAGTATATTATTTTATGAAAGTTGATAATATATAGCATAGGTTTAAAGGTTGCTTTAAATTTTAATAATATTTTTATGAAGACTTTTGAGATATTGAATATTAATTATAATTTTTTGTTCTATAATGTTTTCTAGCAAGATATATTAATAAATAATATATTTATACTAGAGCCTAGCAGCAGGAAAATTAGTTTTTTTGGAGCAAACAAATATTAAAATATATTATTCTTTAAAAGGTGCTATAAAATGTTATAATTAAGAGGGTTTTCCAATTAAATCCAAGTTAAAACTCATTTAATTTGGATACATAAATAACAACCTAAAATGCATTCTCACAATGCATTCCTTCCATAAAGCCTCTGTATTTAAATAATTTTAATATTTTCCTTATATTTAAAAAGCTTCTAGTTAAACCTATAATTTCAGATCAATTACCAAGAAATATAAATATATATGTATAAAGGAGGGCGGCCGCATTTCACATGATTATTTGACCCCTGCCGCTTGGCTTTCCTTGTAAGTGAGTCAAGGGCACTTTCCACTGTAGGAACGACTTGATTAATGGGAAATTGTGTTACCAGCTAATGAGAGGGGGTCAACTGATGGATATGGATATATATAATATTATAATATATATAAATATGTAGAAGAAAAGTCAGAGCAGGTGGAGCTATTTTATTTTATTTTGACTCTGCTGCTTAAGCATTATTTTTCTCCACAAAATTCAATGAAAACGTACTGAATTTCCAATGAAATTTTAACGAATTTCATATTTACAGTTAGCCTGAGGAAAGCCATAGCAGGGGGGTGGTGTTGGGGGGAAATTCAAAGGGGGGCGGTGGCACTGTGGGGTTGATGTGGAGACGCTGTCAGAAGCAATCAGGCTGCAGGCGCTACTCGGCAATATCAAAGAGCGTATTAACATGCAAAGCAGGGCCCACAACCAGAGTCGAAGTCAAAGCGCAAAAAAAATGAAAAGTGGAGGAGTTCGGTATGCAAAAAAACACAAAAAAAAAAATACTTGGAAATAACAGAAAATATATAAGAAAAGCGAACTTGACTTGCCTCAGAAGGCGCAACAAAATTGAAAACCATTAGGATTAATGTTTAGTTGAAAGATTTGCGCGTTAAGCCATTTTTACATGGCTGCCTTCGGCTGCCACCAATTGCTAATGTAGTTTATGTCAGGGAGGGGCTCTCGGAGGGGGAAGGTCCTGCCGAGGCAGTATCCTTAACGTAACTGACGTTGGCTTCTGCTGCTGCGGATGCTGTGTTACGTTACTGCTGTTACGGCTTAAGGCGAGACGCACAAACGACATGTAAAATGTGACATTTTAATGTATGCAAATGAGACGTTGAATTAAGCCAAAGCACACACACACCCACAGTGAAGGAAGGATAACAGTGGGTGGCTAAGATACAGAGAGAGAGAGAGGGGAGCAGGACTCCTGCTGGTGTGCAAACATTCACTCGGTTCCATATCCGCTTCCGCCGCTAAGCATTCTCTATTTCCTTTGCCTGCCCTGCTCTGCCTTTTGTGATATGATTTGAAAATAATGAAAAGACAGTAACAGTTATTCTCTCCCCCCCCCCTCACTTTTCCGGGCTTTCCCCCAATGACTTTTCCAACACCACAACATTAGCAGGACTCTCACGTGTCGCTCTTGGCGGAAATGTCAACTTAACTTGCCTGAACCCTCCCAAAAAACTGTGTCAAAAACATCAAGAAAATGTTGGGAAATTGGGAAAACAAAACCAATAACACACTATAATAAAGTTAAGGAAAGAAATCTATATTTAATTGATATTTTAACCAGAAGCTTCGAATAAATATACCAATAAACAAGTATTGAAACAATTTAAAAGTAACATATAAACTGAGAGTTAAAGTGATTTTTCGGTTAAAAACTTTTTTTCTTGACGAATTCTGTTTTGAAATTCCCTAAAAACATTCATCTACCATTTTCCTATATACCTTTTCATTTAATACAAAAATATAAGAGTATATCAAAATCATTGGAATCCCAAAAGTGGCAACCTCTTGTCCAATTTATTAATTTCTATTCCGTTTGCGTCTTGCAATTTGTCCTTATCTCTCTTTCTCTCTCTTTTGTCTCTGGCCATTGGACTTGATCGATTGTTTTCCTTTTTGGCTTTCAATTTGTTATTGTTTTCCTTGGGATTTTCCAGGAATTCGATTTGGGGGGCCTGGATTTTTCTTTTCCCAAACACTATGTTTGTAGAAATGTTTGATTATGAAGTGGGTAAACTTTTTGTTGCTTGTCTTCAGATTCCTGAGAATCTCTTACAAAACATTTTAAATATTTGCAATGCTTTCACTCTGTATATAATATTTGATGACGATATGAGTTAGTTTTATTTATAGATTTTGGTTTATATGAAGAGTGGACATTTTTATGAGATTAGGACTGATAAATCATAAACTAATAGTTTCTAATTACCAAAAGTGAATTTCAAATTGAGAAGGATTTTAAAGTAATTTAATTATTTCATTCCCTGATTGAGCACTAGTTTTGATTATATTCTTGAAACTAGAACAAATATTTTCCCATTGAAATAAACTCCGAATACATTCATTGTTTAAAAATAAAATGTGCACAAATATAATTCACAATTGTAACAAAAACGAAACAAACAGAGTAAGAAATACGCTACAAATTTAACAATAAAAAATAAATTAAAATAAACTTTGATTTGATGGTTTCTAGACGTCTTAGACAACTTCCTCAGACTTTATCAATCATAGAGTCATCAAATGGCTTCTCAGCTCTGGTCGCAGCGCAATCTTTTGGAAATTATTATCCTTGTATTTGTTAAAAACAGCCATGAGCTTGGCCTTTGGTGCATCCCGAGCCAGCATTGCAATTTTCCCAGAGATCGGTCGCAAATGGATGGCCGAATATCGCGAATAAAAGGACAATGTATCCGACCAGTGGTGATCCTTAAACCCCTCTCTATTCCGATAGTTTCCATTTAGTAAATTCAGGGACAAAAACAGCGAGGCTGCGGCAATCTCCGAGGGTTTGTAGCTACAGAGATCATAATCCAAGGCAGCCAGTTCAATAAAATACTTGGCCATGGAATGATGTTTGTCCTTTGCCTCGGCAGCTTTCGAATACCGACGCAAAAATTGAATTGGCAAAGGACGCGACAAGCTATAATCGATGGCCTTAAGGATCTGCAGCTCCATTTGACAAATCTGGCGAGCTGTGTAGATTTTATCGGTGATTGAAACAAAATCTTCGATTGCAGATGGTAACTGCACTTCATATTTGGTGGCTATAAAAAGGGCTGTAATTCCAAGCAACTGGAAATGGGTGCGTTTAGTGTCCTTGATCACTTGAAGGTAACGATCAATGATAGCCACAGCCAGCTGAAAGGTCTCTGGAATCAGCTCAAATTGCAAGTGGACTTCATTAAGCCAATCTATTAACACCGCTCTCATTTTGGGTGAAACTTCCTTTTGACCTGACAGATGATTCTTGAAGATGGGTTGCTGCTCCTCTAACTGGTAAAGATAGTCATAGATATCGTTTACATATTCAGAGACAAGAAATAGGTTATCTTTGTCATTTGCATCGATATCTTTGAAGACTTTTAAATTCTTGCTTATAAGTAATTTGGTTTTGGAGCATCTGGTTCCTTCTTAGAGTACGTTTCCATGCCAGTCTTGTTATTTTTAAGAGTATTTGTTAGCTTAAGATATTTGGTTTCTTTCTTGGCTGCATTCTTGATGGAAATGAATCGATTTAAATCACGATTTTCTAAATTTCCTAAGGCAACGCGTTTTATTTTCATCACCTGCAAAGGCTCGGTCCATTTCCTCTTTTGCATTTGTTTGAAATTCTCAAAGCCATTCTCATCTCCTTGCTTTTCTAGAGGAATGCCACCCATTATTTTATATCTAAATAAGCACAAGTAACACAGAGAAGCAGAATCTTGATCGTTTCCTTTTTTTGAGTAGATTTTTAAAGCGCTTTTTTAATATATTGCACAACGTGTGTTGTTTGTTTGGAAATGGAATAGCTTTTGACCAGCAAAATATATTTTAATGTACAATTTTAAACTCAAAAGTTACTAAGTTTAGTTACTGCTTCCCCAAAAATCTAAAAGCACAAATCAGAGCTGCAGTTGAAGTTAAATTATGACTAATTAAATGGTTAATTACCCATTTTCCATTAGCTTAAAGTGTCATATGAAGTATTTATTTCATATTAAGCTGAGTTTAACTTTCATTCATTTTTCAATTGTTAAACTCTTGTTTCATTTATACGACCTTTTAACACAAGCTAAAATCGTACCTTAAAGTTAATCCCCTGAGTGAACTTTCCGCTATTATTAACCCCAATTAAAATTAATAGCAGCACACTTGACTCTAGCAAACTTACGCACATGTTTGCTATTAATGTTTTAGACATAACCCCAGGAAAAAAAAAATCCAGCAACCCCTTCATTAATTACGAACCATTTAGGATGCATTCTGTTATAAAAAGGGTATCCTATTTATATATTTAGTAGAGAGTAAGAGTAAGAGAGAGATTTATAACTCACCGATTAGGACTAGTACCACATGTAGCATATACCAAATCTGTAGACTTGTGGCTGTTGTCCTTCGACCTGCTACGCATCCTGTAAGCGATTTCCTTGTCCCTGGTGCCTGTTGCTCAACGGCAACCGACATTCGCTGCTGGTGGCAATGGTGGTGCTCGGTTTTATTACGGTGGTGGTGTTGGTGGTGCGGCAGCTGGTGCTGAATAAATGGATCCTGGGCACACATTTTGGCCAAACAACGTGCCACGCCCCCACACGCACTAATGTCTTTATTAATTTCGGTGTGAAAATTTCACTTATTTCATTTGGACATTAAGTTGTGTTCTTGGGGGTTTCCCCTTTTTTAGTGCTGCCTCTGTGCGGTAATAAAATGTTGGCTATTAATCACTTTTAATCGCGACGCGAACGAAAACAACGGCAAAGTTAAAGGCAAAAACTATTAAACGTCCTTCCTGCCTCCCACCCAAACACTGCAGTCAAGTTAAAGACATAAATTTTCAAGCATTTTGGCCAAAGATTAATTACACAGCAGCCTTTAGTCGGCGGCGGTGTCTCGGCGAGGAAAAGCGTGAAAAACTGGAGAAAAAGAAAGCCACATAAATTCCAAAACTCCTCTTAACCCCTTTTGGTTGATTTAGTGCGTCGGGAAAACGTTTGCCGGGCAATTGAGTTGCTAACATAAAGTCCAAAGTTGGACTTGAAACTTTGAAAAGAAAAATCCACAAAAACCATCGAAAGGAAGTAATTTAACGCCTAGTCAAAAAATGTGTGTCACCAAAATCGATTCAATTCCACAAATACAAATTATTTTCAAGAATGCAGTAAATTCCAAAAACCACAACAAATTCCATAACTCTGAGCAAAAATAAAAAAACAATAAAGCAAATCACATAACAAAATATGGCCCATAAACGGAAGGATTAAATAAAAAATATACATGTGCTGGAAATAATGGCAAAAGCAGTCCGGTCACCCAGATAGGCAATTAAAAATATTTGTTTATTGTGGCTTATATTTTTTCCGGAATTTTTGGTTTTTAGTTTCAAGCAATATTCATACATCAAATTGCTGAAATTATGGCCGCATCTAAAGGATTGAAGCTATGGTTTATGCATATATTTAGAAAATTATTTCACATAATAATTATTTAAACTATGCCAGAAATTAGACACTAGAAACATAAGTCAAATAATTGGAGTAATAAATTGGCAAAGAAAATGATTAGTATTATAATGAAAATTAATTTTAAAACCTAGTATAATTTATGCTAGTCAAAGAAACTATTTTATAACAGTTTTAAAATATATAATTATCATTTCATTCTAAATAATTAAAACATAATCAAGGCTTTCTATTTTATTTAAATTAAATCTTTATAAATATTTGATAATATTTAAAAGGACACCTGCACATGCCACCTGCCAGTCGTCCGTGTAACTGTCCCTTTAACCAAATAACAAATATATATTTTAAATATACATGTTTTATTATATTCCCCCGCATTCTGCCATCGTTGGACATTATTTATGGCCATTCACAAATCTAGCGACAACAAGAGCAATTAACAAATATTTATAAATATAAATATATTGTCATTGCCTGACAGCTAACAATAATATTCAACCTCCACGGTCATGTTATTTTTTAACTTTCCCCTTTTTTAGTTGTTTTTTAAAACCAAATAACAATGGCGGAAAAGGCATAAATAAAATGGCCAACAAGTCAGGTGCAGATAATAAAGGCAACAAAAAACAGAGCTGTTAATATAATTACAACAACAATAGAAGTGCGAACAAGGAGCTTCTAGAAATATGCACCATGGAAAATATATATATTTTATATATATAGAGACTGTATATATACTATATAGCAATCCACCCAAGCAACATAATTAGCCTAAATTGAAGCAGAAGCTAGTAAGAGTGGGAGCGAGGAGGAACGCGGGCGAGACAAGAAAAAATGACAAAATATAATTAAAGATTAAAATGTTCTCCGGCTGAAAGTGGAATTTATGATGGCAAATTTTCTGGCTAGGATTCCGTGCTGTGTTCCAGATTTTGTTTTAACTAAAAAAAACTGGATTTCTTTTGCTACTTAAAACATGGCAAAGCGGAAGGCAGTAGGAAAGTAATGAAAACTTTTGCTGAAGAGTTTCAAAATGAAATGAGACTAGATTAAAACATTATAATATATTTTAATACATTATTATTTATATTATATTATATATATTAAAAAATAATAAAATCTTAAATTATTATTATTCCTTTAATAAGCTATGTTTTAAGATATGATAACAATTTTAAAAATAGTTAATAAAAAGGGCCCTCGATTTGTAAAAATATTGATAATTGAAAACAAAGGCTTGTGCATATATATGTACAATATATAAAAATATATTTAGAAATAGATACATTTATTTATAAACATTTCTTTTTATATAATTTTTGAAGTTATTCTCACTCAATAGCTTTCACTGATATTTGTCTTGCTTATTTAGCAATTAAAAATAAACTTTACAATAAAAATAACATTACAAAGTTATTAAATTATACCTTAAATTCAAATTTTAAAATTGAGTATATATATTTTTTTTTATCCGCTTTTTCAGTAGTTTTATTTAGAAAAATTTTCTGGCTTAGTGGTCACCTTTCAAGTAATAATCTTCTGTTAAACTCAGCTGATTTGATCTTATTTATCTTACATTTTAAAATTAAGTATTTAATATTTACTTCTCGCTCTTTTTCAATAGATTTTTAAATATTTTTAGCTGTTTTCAGTGACTTAGTGGTTGCCTTTTAATTATTTTCTTGTGTTCCACTTTCGCGCCTTAATTAACCGCAACAGTCTCGTCAGATTTGCTCAGTTTTCCTGAGTTTTCCTCAGGAATTACTCGGTTTCCCCCGTTTTCTTAGTTTTCCTCAGTTTTCTCCAATTTTCCCCCACTTTTCTTTACAATAATAACAGCAAATGCTTGACAAATGCTCTTGGCACGCAACAAATGCCGCATTTTCCAGCAAAAGGAAAAGTCTGCAAAGAGATTTAATATTTTTGTAACTGCATATTTTTCCCCCCCTCGCCGCTGATTTTATTTATGATTTTTTTTGCTATGTTGCGTTTTCTGTTATTATTTTTCTTTTGCCGTCACACTTGCACTTTTCGTTTCTCTTTTGACTTTGTTTTTCGTTTTTTCTCTCTTATTTTTTCTGTTGTTGTTGTAAACATGGAATTACTTTTAGTGGCCACTCACTCTTACACACAACACTCACACTCGCACACTCACACTCGCACACTCACACTCGCACACACACCAAGTGGTCGGGTCGGGTGTGCGTGCTTCAGTTTCTGTGCGTTTCGTCTGAATTTTCGGTTCGCTTCGAAAACGACAAAAATGAGGACTTCGAAATTCCGCGCGCGCGACAAAAACGACGTGCGTTCGTCTCAAAGTTGAAATTGTGAATAAAAAAAAACTCAAGTTTGCTGGCGGTAAGTGCTGGAGTGGCGCCATCACACGGCCAGCGGCGGAACCTCAGTAGATGGAGCGACCTTCGTGGCCTGAAAGGGAGAGCGAGAGTAGAAAGCTTTTCTATTTGCTAACAAAGAGCAAAGGAAAGTGGTGAAAGAGAGAAGTGATACATTTCTCTTTAGATTTGTTTCATTTCCAAAGTGTTTCAAATTGTTAACAGAGTGTAGGTCAGTTAGCAGTTAGCAGAAGGAGTTTTGTTGTGAAGTTCAAACTAACATTAAATAATATCTACTGGCACTAAAAAGTATACTTCAATAAGAAGAGTATGGTTTAGATACTGAAATACGAATTAAAGCGAAAAATTACATACCTCTTCGCACTAAAACAGTACTTTGAATAAATTTATGATTTGCTTAACATATTTCAGAAAGAAAACATTCTAAGTTTTATAAAATGAGTTTACTGAGTTTGCTGGTATAATTTTCAAACTTTTATATTATTGGTGCTAATACAAATTTAAAATTAATTTATTTAATTGATGAACAAAAAAAAATCTATTTAATAGAAATGAAATATATATTTTCTATGATAAATTACTATTTATTAACTTAAATGTTAACAGCTATTCATGACTATGTAAGTTAACATAGCAGAGCATTTAACATGCCAGGAAGCTGTTATACTTCGCTTCAGTTTTTCAAAATAAAGGGATATTTCCTTACATTTGTGCTATGTTATAAGCAGCGTTAAAACTGTTACGTTTTTAACGTTCTATACGTTGATTGAAAATATAAATAAGTATGATTTATTGGAATCATTACCATTTTGGCCTTCTAAATAAATAAATTATGTATACTTTATGTAAAAGTCGATACGCTAGTTTTTTGGGTTAATCAAAGTTTTTATGCATCATAACTAAGCCAAAAATAAGTTAATTTTAATTGGGAGAGTCTTTCTGTGCTACTTGCAACAATGCTAACAAATCTGTATACTGAATTTTAAAATTGAATAAATTTAAAATTTTTGTCAAATTTTGTCAAATTTAACGATGTAACTCTCCATAAAAAGTTCACAAAAATTTTAAAAATTTAATTTGCTTTCGAACATAGCTAGATCGATTCAGTTTTTAATCCAGATCATTAATATATATGATTTTTAAAGTCTGAAATGACTTCTTCACATCATTACAAGCTTCTGAATGAATTTATAGTACCCAGAAAATGTAGTACAAAAATTTCGATAACAGTCCTAATAAAAATTACGTATACGCACTGATGTAGAAACTAAGCTAAAAATGCATTAATTACCAATAGGAAAACAGTTCTCTACTAGATTTTATTAGGTTAAAAATTTACAAATTTTCACAAGTCTAAAATTTGTCATTTTTTCCAATTTTAAATATGAGTTGAAACCCTTATAAATTTTGAAAAAATTTTGGAAATAAATTTTTTCTTCTAACATGCCTAGTTTGCGTCGCCTTTTAATGCTGATCAAGAATATATATGATTTATATGGTCGGAAATGATTCCTTCACTGAGTTGCAAGCTTTTGACTAAATTTATAATACTCTGAATGATTGACTTACCGCAGTAGAGGACACGTGGTTATCCCTTTGTTGCCATAGCCTAATTTCAGCCAGTGTAGAGCTATATTCCTGGCGACTTTAATTATGCTGATCATGGTTTCATCTAAGTGATCTTCTTCATCTGCTTATCCAGATGTTTTGCATTGGCCAAGTAATAGTTTTGGGGTCGAAGAGCAATCACTATCACTAAACACTATCACTATAGATGTAAACAGTGGGGAGGCCACGGACAGACTGAGGCCGGTGCGGCAGAAGTGCCTCTATTTATAGTCCCAGAGGAAAGAGAACAGAGAAAGTGAGAGCGGGAGAGAGAGAGGTTTCTCTAGGGATAGGCAGAGAAAGCTAGAGTAACAAGCATATTTATAGAAATACACAGAGAGTGAGTGTGTGAGAGAGAGAAAAAGAGAG